CACCCACACTGGAGCTGGTGCCCCCTAAGAACTCAATTCAAGAACAACTTTTTAAACTCATAAATGAAATCAAAGAGCTCATTCTATGAGCCAAAGAACTTACAATTTTAGGCGGGACAGTTAATGGGTGGTTACTGTAGGTTGACCCCTTGGTTTGCAGTATACAGTCTCGCAAGAAAAAATAGTAAGCAGGATACTGAATATGTACACAGCATTCCAATTAATTAAATTTCATCCTCCTCCAATGAATACATAAATTGTTGCTACCCTGGTTACTGTACTGAGCTTGAGTGACTTGCTCAGCATCAACCAAAGGAACCAAAGTAAACTCACAAGATCTTGGTTTACTTTCCTGTGCTCAGACAAGATGTCCTCCTAGATATTAAACAATCACTAAGCAATGCAAAACTCTCAAATTGGCCATGAAAACTTAAGAAGAGCATCCAGGAAATAATTTTTAAGACTACTGCCACTCAGCTCTCCCAAGGACTTCCGTTCTTGTGTGAATGAGCACTTGTCCTTTCAAGTACAAGCGGTGAAGCCTGGTGGCAACAGCTGGAGGACTGAATAACCCAGTTGTGCCATTGAAGCGGCGTGGATCTAATCCCATGATGAGGAGATGACTCCTTCGGAGAGGCCCGTTATAAAATTATCGAGTGACATGGGGGGTGGAAGGAATCAAGCCCGTTGTAATTGAACTGACTTGAAATAACAAATGCACACACTTTCTTTAAACACAGCTTGCCACATCCTGAGAATCTGGAATCAATTCCTTCCCTTTCAAGAAGCCTAAAGTGTGATATGGCATGAGCATGTTTGCTTCTGGGCTTATAGCCCTCACCAGCCCGTTCCAAACCTTTCAACGTTTTTATATTATAAGACAGAGAAGTTAGGAAAACAAAGATGGAAAAAAAGAATCAGAAATTCAGGGAACTATTAAATCAGGGCAGCCTAGCTGCCAAATACCTTTGGTAAGTAAATGAATCATGATCAATAACATATTGCCATACAGACTTACAGAAGAAGGTTATCACCTGCTTCTGTGCCAGGGAAAAAACATAACGGTATGTGGCTAATGAAGTACTGCATGAATCCAGAAAAAAAGGTACTATTTTTCTTTGTAATGTTAAAGTATTTTACTTCAAAGTAATTTTAACTCATCCAGAAAAAACATTATTTTTTCCATGAAAACTTTGTCAAAATTGATAGGTTACTATGAAACACTTCTCTTCTGACAATGTTGCATTTGTAAGAGGAAACTGTCTCGATAGAAGAAAACCTATTTTTTTAAGGGGATGTTTCAGCCCCGATTGTGTTGCTTGCTTTATATATTCACATATTTGCCAGCAGAGGGTATCACAATCTTAGAAACAAACAGACATATGTATCATTGTATCTATTCATTTACATGCAAGAATTCAGACACACACTAAACCAAGAAATTACAAATCTTATTATCTTCAGTAGCTTTTCCACTATCAGAAAAAAAAATCATTTACCTACTTAAAGGCTACAGACTCTGTTATCAGTGCCATCTCACCACCTCTCTCAGGATAGGAAATATTGCAATGACATAGCCGACTGATGGCATCACTTGAACTCTGAAACTGTTTCATGACCCTGGTTGTAAACCCTCCTGGGAGGAACACCAGCTTGGGCTTATCTTTGGTGAGCATTAGGTTCTCATTATTCCTCACATCCAGTATCCTCATACTGCATAAATCTCATTAATTATCCCAACCACTTCACGCCACTTTTCCACAAAGATTTAATAGCCACAGGCTGTAGTGAGATCTCATGTTACATAGACCGCATGATCTCTGCTAAACCAGTATGCTACGAAGAATGATCACGTATAATTGCACCTAACCCACACTTCTTGCAGCTAGAGATAGGCTGATGCTACAAATTCCCAGCCTGATATCCCACACATTAATGAATTCACCTCCCTGACTCCCAAGTTAAGAAAACATAATTTAAACAACCTGATGCTTGGTGCTTCAGCTTACTTGGTATTCAGCACTCCCCTATTCCCAACTAAAATAAATTAAAATTGTTTTTTATGTAATGATCTGGGTTCTCCATTCTATTTTGGATTTATTAACAAGTCTTCTTCTATTTGTCTCTTTTGATCATGTGCAACTGATGTCCTGGTCACTGGTATGGCTTTCCAGATTAACCCAAGCACTTGAATCAGCCGGAGCTAGGAGCTGATATAGAGGATGACTACGAGACGTGTATTACCTTTATCTGAGAGCTGGGGTGTATAGGAACCATTTAAAATAACCACAAGCAGCAATATCTGTTTTTTCGGACCTCACTTGCTCATATGGAGACAGGGAAAAGGACATTCTCCTAAGTAATTACATCTTATGTTTATGAAATGCTTTTTATTATTACAGAACTATATACAACTACTTTTACTGTTATATAGGAAAGATAATTCATCCGAACCCAGTGCAAAATTACATGCATCAGATAAGGGCTAGAGCCCCAGATCCCTTTTTGATTTGTGTTGCAATTTTAAAAAATACCAATCAAAAAGAAATAGGTTCATTAGGAAATACGTATACAGTGGTGTTGTCCTTTCCTTTTTGCACATAGTCTTTTCACTGCTCAAGAAATCTAACACAAATACCTTTTAATTAACTCATTATCTGCCATGCAAATCAGCCTTCAGAGTAACCGCTGTAGGTTCAGATGAAATGGATAGGAAGGTAGGTAAAATGTCCCTGGGATAAGAGAAAAGCTATTCTTGCTTAGCCCTTGAAAGTCAATTAATCTGCTGAAATTGAGGTTTACTTCCCACATGACATAAGTCTGCACCAATAGTCCCAAGGACTCCGAGGTGCTCAGGTACTTTACTCTGTTGATAGAAAGAACGTGTAGGTACTACTTATACTCTGCTCACCTCTGCTTTATTCTCCTTGCACTGCAGCACTCCAGCTGTAAAGAATTATGCTAAAAACTTTTCTCTAGTTCAAAGAGGAAAGTTGACTACCAGTATGGTCAGAGATTGTGTTGTGTCTGGATATCACAAGAGCACGAACCAGCTAATGAAATGGAGTGAGGGTGTTTGCAGGGAGCAAAGATTGTTGCTCTCCAGAAGCTTAACAACTCTTTTCTCTATAACCTTGGTCTGCTTAATTGCCATTGGGAAGCATTTTCCTTTTTTTTTCCAAGAATACCTAAACCAAGAGTTTGCTAGGCAGAACTAGTGAAAGCTCCCATTAATCTCACTGCAGCTAGTAAATGTAGAATCATAGAATCATAGAATCATAGAATCATAGAATAGTTTGGGTGGGAAGGGACCTTTAAAGGTCATCTAGTCCAACCCCCCTGCAGTGAGCAGGGACATCTTCAACTAGATCAGGTAGAGACCCACTAGATCAGGTAGAGACATGTGGAGACCCAGTCACAAGCACCTTGCAGGGTTAGATTCCTTATCTCACAGCAGCAGATATCTGACCTTGAATTCCAGCTCTGGTTATAGCCAGATGCAGACATCTCTAGGACAGCCATTTTTTAGTGGCTGGAGCTGCCAGCCCTTATGAGTCCAGGGATTTGCATATTGCAGAGTCACTGAGAAGTGGCGCGTTGGGATTATGCATGTGGACAGACACCAGCGCTGGTTTAGAATGCAAGGGGCAGCACTGCTGAATTCAAGATTTACAGTTGTGGAGCAGACCATAAAGATTCCTTGTAAATGGCCAAGATATTTTATTTTCACTGTAACATCTATTTAACCTAACTCTTAATTTTCCTTCCTTTTACAACTTCCTACAGAGGTTAGCTGAGCATCCCATTAGCATTAGACAAAAAAATAACCTTTTAATATCCCTGAGAAGTGAAGCACTGCAATTATTTCCTTCTGTTAACAACACAAAAATATTAAGGAGCAGATTGTTATCTGACATAAATCATCATTTACCCATTTTCATGTCATGGGTCAGCCCCAGGCAATGAAATATAATTGCACAGATGTGCGATTGTAATTACATTTTACGTACAAGCTCTGTGGCAGAGCTGGAACCTGAAAAAATCTAGTCTTCTCTGAATGATATGATTTGAACGCATGGTGTTTAACATGCCTTAGGTCTCTCTCTGTGAAACTAGTAATACAAGGTAAGATGTACATCAGTTAGTGACTGCAAATATTCTACTAGATCATCTCAAGGGCTATGGCAGTGTAAAGCCACTAGCTTTCATGGCAACAGGAGCTTAGACTAGCTGAAGTCTTGCCTCTCTGAGGGGAAAGGAATGTGGAGAAGAAAAGCAATTTCATTATGAAGACAGTGTAGGATGTGTGTAAATATGCATGGCATCCAGCTTTGGGGCGGGGGCGGGTATTTCTTCTGACAGGCAAATGTGAGGGAAATTCTGGAGCTTACAGGGTGCAATTACATTTCTTAAAGCCACTTCTTTAATTTAATTACTTTATGTTTAATGTCTTGACATAACTCAGTTTGTATGAGCAAATTAGCTATAACAGCATAACATAATCATGAGATAAGTGGGCCAAGAGTCTGATGGCCACACTTAACAAATTATGAAGGGTCAGGGCATGTGTTGCTCTCACCCGGTCATTCACTGCTAAATTTTTAGTACTAGCATGGCTTTGGGTCCAGTCAATTAGCACTCCTCTAAGCAGTGCCTGGCCAGAGTGGAGGAGGTAGCACAGCCGCCAGCCACTTCCAGTGAGCAGTATGGGGTCCTGTTCTGGTGAGGAAGCTGGGCTGTATGGACAGGAGCCATGTCGTGGCAATTGGCAAAGGGGCTATGGAACGCTCTGCAGCCTGTTTTATTTACAAGTATAAATGTAGTCAATTCAACTGTGGACGTGTGAATTGAGTCCACTGAACCTACCATCTCAAGTTGATCAGCAGCAGTACCTGATGTCATATGAACAGAGTTTACAATAAAATGATGGGAGAATGGCAAAATTATTCCAGTTCCAAGTACACAGACTCCCTGGCACATTTGGTAATCATCCTACTCACCAGCATTATCCTGCTGCTTGGTATTTTTGATGTATGCAGAAAATTTGGAGAAGATATCGATTCCAGCAGTGTTTGATTCCCGGTGCTTAGCAGCCAGCTTGGGGTACCTGAAAAGGGAGAAGCGGTGTGGAGAGTAACATCTTGTTACCAGCAACATAGTGATGATTACAAACACAATTTACAAGAAGAAAGAAAAAAGCCCTGTACGAGGAACTGCAATTAGCGCTGTCATTTATCTCAAAACAACAGCTTGGCAAGTCCCTCTTAGTAATATCTGTGGCTGTCAAGGCAGGCGTTTGGATGGTTACACAAGATGGCTTCACGACAAAGGTAATTGCACTGGCACTTTATGTGACCACGATCCAAGATACAGTGGCCTTAAATCAGAAGGAAGCATAAATTTCCAGAAAGGTGCAGGGGAGTTTGGCAGTCAGCTCTCTCTATTATGAATGGCAGTCGTGTCTAATTCCCTGCGCTGAAAATGTACTCCAGGATGTAATAGCAAGGCATGTTAGTATTACCCAGGTGAAGGAACATAAAGTTTTCAGTCTCTGAATTGTTTTTTATAGACATCTGGTGCAAAGGAATATATCGATTTGAAAGACCAACAGAAACGAATGACTCCTACTGATTTCAGTGGTCTTGGACCAGAGTATAGAAAATTTAAATATCTGATCTCTTGCCTCAGGACTGGCCTATAGCTGCTGATTCAGTTGGAGGTAAAACACTCCATAAGGAACTGAGCCAATTGTCATTGATTCTTAGATTTTAAAGTCCAAAACACAAGCCAACTTTTTTTTTTCCCATTATCCTCCTATTAAGTCCAAAATGTTTGACTAAGTTAGGCATATCTGGTGAATCTAAACCTTTCCTTCGTAGCTTGTTCCAGTGGTTAATCATCCATACTGAAAAAATCTGTGCCTTGTTTCTAATCCAAATTAGTTTGGTTATAACTTCCAGTCATGGGCCCTTGTCATTTCTTGACTAGAATAATGAGCACTTTTCTGCCTCCAGAGCCTCTCGTACTCTGTAATCAGTTCCCCTTCCAACCTTTCTAATACACCATAGAACTCAGAAACTTCCAGTTTTTTGCTGTAAAATGCTTTTCCTGGCACAGATATTTTGTGTGGCAATTCTCGGCATCTATTCCAAGTTATTTTTAGCTTTGTAAAATGTGGACACCAGACCCCTACAAAAATTTTCTAGTATTGGTCTCCTTAATTCTGCATACAAGGGCATCCTGAAATGTGTACAGAGAAAACATTCTGCAGTTATTAGTCATACAAGTAACCTTCACACATGGAAGTCATCTTACTGAAGCCAGCAAGTTTCATAAATAAATATTACTCCTGTAAGTAAAGGTTGTAGGAGGGAGTGCTTTTTAGGAACTCCTCTTAGGACATCTTTCATTCCTAGGAAATGGAATATTGACTGAAAAAATCCCACGTTCTTACTTTGGAGGTGCAAGAGTCTCTTCCAAGAATTCCTCAATCTTGTTAACATCTGTCTTGACTTCTCCATTAAAAGTCAAGAAAGGTGGGTGGGTCCCAGGAGCTAGATTGTGTAGGTCAGCTGGCTTCCTGCACAGAGAGAAAAAGTCATGAAATCAGTAATCTTTATGGTCAGGTAGTGGCACAGGTATTTATAGTTCCTACAAAATCAGTTTGCTCTTCTTTTTTTTTCTGTAGTTTGTGGTTAGAAAACTTTGAAACTACCCCAAGCACCCTGTTTAATATAAAAACATTCCACAAGTGAAAAAAAAAACCCCAAACCTGAATCCCAACTATTTTGTTGTGCACCACAGACTCTCTAGGCTAGATACAAATCTGATTAACCTTGGTGGGGCCTTTCTATAGGGCAAACACTGGATCATATAACTATTTTCAATTAAACTGAACAAATTTTACCTTTTCAGGTCAACAGTGGTGACATTGAACACAACTCCTTTGAGCCACAGGATCATGAAGAGACGCTGGGAGAATGGGCAGTTCCCAATGCTTTCTCCATCTATACCAGCCTGAGGGATGGAAAGAGAGGAAAAATAGATTTCAGACTCGTTAGTCATTTACCTCCCTCAAGATGGAAAATTGGATGTTGAAAGAAAAATAACCAGTTTTAAAATAACTGACAGTGCCTGTTATTTGATATAGTTTATCATCAACACAAGAATGGAGTTACTCCAGGATTCAGTGTTTGTTTGGAGCTTGAGCAAGCAACCTGTTGCCTCGCCTCAGGGCAGCTTTGGGTGAAGGAGATGTGTCCCTTGCCAATGGCAAGCAACGTCCAGGAGACTGTATATACTTTCAATTACTCTCATCCCTACAGGACTGCCTGTTTATGGACATGCCAGAAGACTCAGGACAGGTTTTCTACTCTATTTGAGTCTGTGGACTGCAGCTTATATCAGCCTAAGATCTGCTTCACTGTTTTACTACCCCAAAATGTGTATTTTCAGACCTAGATTTAAACCCAAGCACTCCAGACATTCACTCATTCTTGTTCACGTCCAGTAAAGCAACAGCTTCAGACACAAACAACCAGATCCAGACAGAAATCTCCACCCAAATCCTTCCAAGGTTCAAGACAGATTTCAGCCACTGCATTGTCTGTTCCTATCTCTAGTACCTAATGAGTTGCCTACAAACCACTACAAAACAATAAAAAACTGCTAGTGTTAGCATTGAGGAAACAGCCTGTTTTTTCCTCTAAAAATTTATGGTCCTTAGCCATGCAAATTCTGACTTTGAGCCATGGAGGGATACAAATAACGCTAGCTGAACTGAGCCAAAGCTGCGTCCAAGGACAACATCCTTCTACAATAATTATGCTTGTGGCCAAAGCTTTCAGGATGATAATGGTTTTGATAGACTTCCATTTTAATTTGTGGTACCATTGTGTTTTAAAGTTTCTTATAATCCTGGTGAAGCAACCAACCTTCCGTTGTTGACCCACATGGGTTGCATAACTGTATTTTTTGCACACAGTGTGTGTCCGAAAACAGTTGATGAAAGAGCTAAGCAAATACATGCCTTTTTCCTTTGGAGAAAATATTACATTACTCTGTTTGCTCTCATAAATTTTATCTTATTAATATTCAAGCTGTGAGGTAGCATTTCTCTGCCTTAAAGAAGGAATCGCTTCTAATTATTGCCGTTCTGAGAAACATTCACAGCACAACCAGAAACATTTTGAGATGCATCCAATACAAATTCAGGCCTTGCATGTGACATGCTTAGCTGAAAGATTTTCTGGTAGGCGTCATGAACCTTTCTCATGTCTTGAACACAGCTTTTGATGATTCTGGGTTTAAAAACAAATTCCAGATTTCCCATCCACCAGAATATGGAGTGAGTGTGGATTCAAGGCTTGGAGACAACCTATCGTAAAGTTTAGGGCTATGTAAAGAGTTTTTCTCTGGGTTCAGACTCAGTTCCAAACACTCAGACTCTACAGGTATTTGGATATGGGGGTCCAGTTTGGCTGTGCTTTTACTTGAAATTATGGATCTGCGATAAGCCTGGCACATGGCATATGCAAGAACCAAGAAACAACGTGCGTGAAAGAGTGGTATGGCATGAGGATGAGCAAGAGAAGATGCCTTTTTCCTTCTGCCTGAGGTGTGAGTAGCCTAGATTTGCAAAATTTTATTAATTAAATAGTGAGGTCTGTTCTGCAAATTTCCTGGCAAAACAATGACAATGTTACCATGGGAATACCAGGCACCACCATACTGCATGCAATAATTACTGCAAAGTCACATTTGTTGTTTTGGCTTTGGCTTGTTAAACCATTGCCAAGAACTTTTAACTTCTTACCCTTCCTGAAAAGAGGCAAATGCTATAGGAGAAAACAGCGATATGACACCAAATTTCCCCTTGGCTTTTTCACCATCTCAATCATAATCATATCCTTCATAATGGAGTTGGCTGACTGAGTCTACAAACGATATATTACAAACCTAAAATTTGAAGAAAAACAGATTGATGACTGAATTAGAGGGCAAAAGAGTGCAGACAGAAAAGGGCTGATTCTCATCTTACCTTCTCTGGATTTACTTTGGCTTATAACTCCATTGAGTTTGATTCACTCTTCACCTGACTCCCTTCAAAGTGAGTGTAAAACTCTGTTTTGGCAAGTCCTGCAAATACCTTGTGAGCAAAGGGGTCTTGTCTCACAATAACATGCAAAGCTCTGGCCCGCCTGCAGGTTTCCATCCTGCATGGAGGCAATCTCTCGCCTGTCCTCATCACCCTCTTCTTGTGCTGTAAGGAACAATTTCACCTTTTTCAGGAAAGAGACTCAGGGAGACCATTTCCCTGCTCTCTCCAATTATATATTCTCATACAAATGTTAAGGGTTACCCAGATCTGTATCTTTTACACATTCTTCATCCTGCAAGGCAATGGTAAAAAACCCTCGCAAGACCAGAGAGGATTAATGGAGGAACAAGGCAGATGAATGGCAATGCAGACACAGAAGTGATGGGTCATGTGAGGTTAAGGGATGCAGAAGTCATTGGGAACAGGAGAAAGATGCAGAGTCTGGAAGAAATAAGATTCACTTAGACTTCAAAAATAAAATTAATTGTGGAGGTCAAACGAGGCCTCCAACAGCCCCAAGTGGTGAAAATATCTTCCCAACACTTCAAAAGAGTGGGAAACATCAATTGCTAGAGACACATTGGGAATCGACAGAGGAAATTCCAGAAATTAAAGATAAACTAAAGAAAAAGTATGATATGATCTCTGTTCAAAGCTCCTGGATCTGGAAGCCAGGCTCATGATTTGGGTGGAGTTTGACTCATGGGTTTTGATCTCATGTGACTGGCATAACTGAAAACTCTACCACAAATAACAAGGCAAACTGGTGACAGAGGAGGGAAGAGAATCAAAATCTCCCCAGCAACACAATTTATCCATTAAATTCAGCTCTTTTTCTTCAGAAATTATAGGCAAGGCTCTGTCGGGTTTGTGAATCCTTTCTCATTGCTTCTAACAGCAGTCAGTAATTCAATGTTCAGCACTGAGAAAGAGCAAAACCTTAGTAGGTAATAACTTCAAAGGCTTAATAGAGTGTCTCGAGATCCCTTGTGAAGTCTATTAACTAGAGAAGGAGATGAGGAAGAACAGAGAACTTCCCAGGCTTAGTCACTTTTAGCTTCAAAGAAAAACAGCTTGCTTAAAGCACCCCAGTAGTGCCTAAATACAAGCCTATTATGTATCTGTCCAAGGTTAAGGGCTCAGAAGTGCAGGAATTAAATAATACCTTCATCAAGATCAAGAACACAAATAGTGGATGGAAAGAAAAGAACAAATAATTGACAAGCTGGAGAAACACCATCTATCCCTGCTGTTATTCACAAATGAGCACAAAAGCTTTCTCACATAGCTTCCCTGAAGCACAGCAAAAGTGATCAACCACTTATAAAAAGGAGCAATTTGATGATATATGTGCTCTCCCTGCCAGTAACACCAGATATTTCTGATTTAATGATTGCAACTAGGGATAGACTTGAGGCTTTGTGGGAACTAGGATCAAGGAAACAGAGTTTTTAAAGTGCACTATAACTCCCAGAGCTGTGAAAGGGTTTCGGAGCCACCTTCCCTCTGTAGATGAGCAGTCCCTCCTGTTCCCTGTGGAGAATGACCTCACCTGAAAAGGCAAATTCCCAGAGTGACTGTGGAAGAGTAAAACAGATTCGAGGATTTGCTGGGTGAGACTCTTTGGCCAATGCTCATCCCACTGAAGTTTAACTGAGATGCCTAAGGGAAGATCTCCTGTGCAGGCAAGCCCGGGATGCACATCCAAAGGATGAATCGGGCCACTTTTCACTTTGATGGAATCCAGTGAGTGTCTGAATTTAGGTGGGATGAATGCAGACCCCACTAACAGATAAGCCTGAAATCCGTGGAGGCCTAATCGCTAGAGAATTATTTTGCTCCATCTTGGAAGCATCACTTTCTGCTCCCATTGCTTCACACAAACTTAGTCTTATTAGTTTAGCTACTAAAAAAAGATGCTTTTCTGCTTAACCTCCAGCCGTATAGGTACTTCACAGCAATTGATGCAAGGTCCTGCTCTGGAACTTGGTATAATCACATCAGGAAAACCCCACCACCATACCAGCTGCTTGCCTCTATCTGACTAATGGCAAGAACGAACAAGATGTTCTCCTTTATTATTTATAAGGCACTCCTCCTTAAATACTTCAGCTATTTTTAATGAATTAATTAAACCTTAAAGATATTTGTGTGCACAAGTCGGGGATATACACGACATTACCAAGGAAAAATATTAAGAAGGTTTCGGGGGGGAGAAAAAAAAGTCTCAGTGATTTTATGACCTTGTGCCAAATATTTTTGTAAAGTAGCAGTAGTATCCAGAGCCTCAAACCACTGCACAGCACAGCTGAATGACATGAACAGGGAGCTCTTCTCAAGTTCAAGCTACTACTTTGCTATAAATGAAATAACGGGAATAAACTTCCTCACTTGTTCCAAAAATACTCCAACTGGTACATGCACAGTGACTGCAATGCACACAGACAACTGTATATTAATTCAACTAACCTTAAGGGGGGGAAAAAAAGCAAGTTTCATTTCCAGTCATTGCCAAAATACAGCAGCTTTAAAGAAATATACCATCATTAATAATGACTAAGCATCTAGCTTAAAAATGGCAGTGCTGGAAAGAGTTGCATATTGGAAAGGACTGTGTTTTTTCCAGGAAAATAATATATTTGGTTTTATCTATTCCCCTCTCTTTTCATTTTTCACTGCATTGAGGCCATTCTGCACAACGGTTCAGTGCTCTCTTAGACTCTGTGGTAAAGTAGGCAGATATTTTTGATGACACTAAAACACATTTCTTTTTCAAAAGGATTTTAACAAGTTAACCAAAGCAGGCAAGCTAATTTACCTCAATGTTTCCCAGTAAGGATTAAGGAGGGATTTGATTTCATCATCCCTACAATCAAAATCTAGACTCACATTACACATGGTTACACCCTCTCTGTTTTAAAATTGGGAAAGTGCCTGGCTTTTGACACTTACTCTCCTTACTCTCAGAACCCAAAGGGGAAGTGAAAATCCTATTTGAAATGCAGAGCAGGCCAGGAAATATCCTATTTATTGTGCCATTAAAAAAAAAAAATCTGTCTTAGTAATTATACCACACACACAATAGCACAAATCTC